AATTTCACTTCCTTGCAAGGAAAGATTAACTATCACAATCTGGATCGCTTGAGTTCTGTATTCTTCAAACAACACAAAAAAACCCCAAACAAACAAAAACACTGAAATGCTTCAACTATCATCCGTTCCACGGTAACAGGATAAAACTGCAGTGTCGTCTTCTACTCGTCCTGTTAACATGGACAGGACAGCAGATTTGCTGCTGGTTGGATATTGAATATAAAAAAGCAAAAGAAAGTTGAGATAATCCCACATGAAGTCATTATTAGAGCTGGCTTTTCCCCCATTTTGAAGTACAGTAGTGACTTGTAAATATGACCTTTTCTAAAGATCATCATCTGAGATTTGATAATTTATCTGTCTGCTTTGCTCAAGCAACTGCTGAAAGAATTTGTACTACACCACCCGCCATACAGCGTTCAAAATGTCGGGGTTTTTTTCCTTAAAAAATACCACAAGAAAAAAGTAGTTCTAGTTTTTGTATCTTTGAATCACTAACCACATTGTAGATTCCATTTATTCTTCGATGGCTGAAAGTGTGCCTGCAAAAACCAAAGAACTGTCAACCTTCCTTACGCCATCACATGCCTCCAACAGTCTGAATCTAATACTTCTGGAATGGAATGATGTACTTTTATTTTTCCTCAATTTGCAGTATGGCTACATCAAGCTAGCTTTAAGTCACAACTGTACCTAGCCACAGTTCTCTGCAGCAAACCCATGATTTACAATATCGAATATTGTGGTTACAGTGCAGGGAACCGTGGGTAAGAAACCTCCATTTCAGAGTACTGTGGTTGGGGTTTCCCGGAAGAGTGGCAGTTGACACCTCTGGAATTTTCATAGATAAGTGCTTCAGTCAGATGGTCCTGAGTCGGAGCGGTAACTCAGGCACTATGAGAGCCTGGCATTCAGTCTGCGGGAATGTGTGTAGCCTCCGTCGCTCGAACCGCTTTGCAAACTGTAGTGGTCTTCGGCGTCGCTGGCGCTTCCAATACTGTCCATTTCCCCTGGGGTGAACTCCATTCCTTCAATGTCTACTTCTAAACAAAGCACAAGAAGGCAACTGTCAGGAACAACGCCGTTACAGTGGGCTGGATCAGAGGCCAGCACTGCCTGCGTAGGTCGAGGTTCAGGGGAAACCTGAATCATACATGTCTCCTTAAATAATAAAGCACGGAGGAGTAAGTGAGCAAACTAAGGCAAGTGTCCTTTTGGCCACTTGAGAATTAAAATCCCTTCTGTGCTCATGCCCATAAATACACAGCATGACAGCAACGCCAAATGCTGTCCCAGGACTGTTCCCACGTGTGCGCAGGCTCTGAATTCTAAAGAGGAAAAAAAAAAAAAAAAAGGCAAAACTGCAAAGGCTACAAATCCGTAGCCGGGCTCACGACAATCCAACATACACAGGTGCCAGGCGGTGACAACTGTGGTGCAGCCACCTGTCCCCGAGCCACCGCGCCGTGGCCGAACTCATCACCCACAGACCCTCAAAAAAAGCAGCGCGCGCGAGTTATCTGCTACAGAAAAAACGCAAAAAAGAATCTAAGAAATGGGGACTGGAAAAGCCCTGGGTTAAATGGGAACCAAAAGCAGAAAACTCTCCGTTTATTCAGAAAATATTTGGAAATTTCACAATAAATACTGTGGGATTAATTTATTCACACAAATTAAGACATCTTCTTTTCCCAAGACAAAAATATTATGCCAGTCTTACCATTACATTTGAAATTCTGTAAATGAAATGGTAATTGTTTAGAAAACTGGCAAACACACACAGTATAAATAGCTGTATAAAAGTCAAAACTGATTAGAAAAAAAGAATGTCTTTGCAAAGAAAATGAAGGAAGATGCAGCAAGTTTTCATGCTGCACGTTGCAAATTGGAACAATTTTGTCTGGGTTTTGCTGAAAGTGTCAGTTCTAAATAGTAATTTTGTATTTTCTTCCTTCCCTACTTCCCTTTTGCTTCCTGCTCTTGCACTTCCCTTTGGAAAGGCTTGTTCAGTTACCTTGTTCGGAATCAGTGGATATTGTTGATCCCATGCTGTCGGTGCGGATCCGCTCCATGCCCTGCACGGATAGCTGCTCCAGTCTGCGTTTGAGGTAGCGGTGCTCCCGCTGTAATTGTTCTTTAATATTTAGAGCTTTTCGGTCCTGTTCTTCCAATTTCTTAAAGAGAGAGAAAATTAATAGGCCAACAGTTTTTACTCATGTTCAAGCACAAGTAGTATAAGATTTTTTTCATACATACTACTTTTAAAGCAGGAATTGGTGATGGGGCAAAATCTCCACTGACAGAGCTCTATGGAATTCAGTAGAATTTAAGCTGGCTACATCAGAATTTAATTCATCTCGTAATAAAATACATAAATGCCAAAACCAGGAACCATTTGAGATTTTCCTGCCACTAGGACAGTTCCTTAGCTAAGACTGAATTACTCTGGCCTTGGTTATAGAGAACATTTCAAGCATTTCCCCAAGCAACAGTGGTTAACAGCCACAGTGGTAACAGCACTAACAGTGAAAACAGCTCCTGCTTCTGCGGAAATGTAAAGCTTCTTCAGGTGAAATAAGGGACATGCCCACAAAGAAACAACTAGGAGTCTACTGAATGCCCACTTTCATGCTATAGGCTAAGGTGGATATTTTTACCATTTATCATTAAAGCTTTATTAGCAGTATCACAGTATTACTTATGGAAGTAGAGAGTGTTTGCTGACAATTTGCTTTGTTCCTGTACTTTTCTCTCCTAAAATTTATCTGGAGCAAATATTATAATTCCATGGCAACCTCCTACAAAATCAGTGGTATTAGCTCAGGCTTTCTCAGTAAATACCCTGTGAAAAGATCCTTGCACTGTCTGCCTGCAATTTCCCCTGCAGCCCGAATTAAAGGGGATATTAATTTTGGAAAAAAATAAGACTACTCATTCCCTGTAAAATGTGCTGCACTGTTGATACAAAGGTAATAGAAACAACAACTTTTAAGATTTCAACTGAACCCTTTTCCAAATCACTGACAGCCATTTCCAGCAACATATCACAGGGGCAGAAAATATCATGTATAATATAACAGATTCACCAACAGGAAGTAAAAAGCAAAAATCACTGCAGTTAAAAGGACTTTTTTTTTTTTTTTTTTTTTTTTTTTTTGAGCAAATTACAGGTTCTGGCAGCAAAAGCAGTTGCAAGAAAGACCAAATTTCTCTGAACTGTGCTTACATGTCCACCGAATTCCAAGAGATTTACTGGCAGTGGACACAGTCGCCGTCAGCTCCTCCCTGCTGTCTGAATGAACCTGTGCTCCATTTTCTAGAGGAGCCACACGCCAAGCGACTGCACAGATTTTGCTTCCTGCCTGCAGGAATATTCGTCTTGTGAAATACTGGCTTTCCAGGCTGAGTGCAAACTAAGCTCGGTAGCCTCATTTTAAGCCCTCACCAAGGCAGTGCATCAGTCAGCTATGAACTGAACATGGATATACAGGGCTGTAATGAGAAAAGGGGTTGGCACATCCATACTCACCAACCAAATATACCTGACTGAACAGATTTCATCTTTTTTTTTTTTTTTTTCTCATTTTATTTTTGTCCTAGAGTACACGCAGGGCAGGTTCAGTTAAAACCTTAAAACCAAAACTAAACTTCTGCTTCATTTTCCAAAAACTAAATACTTGATACGGTGCACAATGGACTACCTTTTTTTCCCCTTTTTTTCTTCAATCAGGAGCTGAAATGGTAGCTACTCTGCTTATCTTTCACACTTTCTACTTGTAAAAACAGTATCTCGAATAGCCCACGAGAGTGGGGCAGCCCAAGACAAAAGCTACATGCAAGTGCCCCTCATGCATCCTAGCCTGAACTATAAACAAGAGGCCAAAATCTCAAATGGCAGAAACAGGGGTTGCCCAGCTGGAGTAAATGTCTTTACAAGAGCTGACGAGGTAGTTTACAATAAGTGTATCGACAAGAATGGTTTTGATTCAGTTCATCTCTAATGTTCCATACGAATTATACCATTCCTGCAATTGCAATGACAACTTCATGCTGCACAACAGCAGGCTGTTTTCAAAAATATTCCAAGATTACTGGCAGTGTTCAACCTCTCTTGACACTTCATTTTTCTTGATCTATTTTCCTAGAACATTGAAAAAAGGCCAGATGAATAATTACAGTCTGGACACTGCAGCAGAAACTTGTTGTTTTTTAACTTTTACATTTAAGTACTCACTTGTGCCCTTTCCATACCTAACCCCCTCCCCTGAAACTCCAGAACAGGAAATGGGAGCAAGGGTATCTCAGGGAGAGAGGAGGCCCCGGGGTGAATTCCCTCTGTTCCACCTGTGCAGCCCAAGCTGCTGCTCAGTCACAGGTCACTGTTTTTGGTGGCTGGGACGAGGGTGGATTGGTTGGTTGGTTCTTTTTTCAGCTTGGTGCTACACGAATGAAACATGCAAGGCAAAGTGGTAACTATCAGGATACTTCATTTTATTCCTGGTTTCTTTTAAATGACTGTCAAACACTCCAAGATCTAGTCATCAATATGTAAGGATGGGAAAAACTAACAGCTATTATCCCTTTGGCTCCATTAGCTACTTCAATCATGAATAGATCTGCCTTTTTACCTTGAAATCAATGCTGGACAGTGCTAGCTTGCTCAATCTTTAAAAAATAAATATATAAATATACAAATAAAATACATTATATGAGTATCAAGGTTGTTTTATAAAATATAATGTAAACTATTAATAACTAAGCAGAAATCACCAGCATTTTATATGTCTGAGATTGCAAGGTAAATTTCAAAACTCAAACTTGGTACCGTGGCTGAGATACATGCATTAAATAAGGCCAATATATCTAGAGGGTTGGACATATAGATAAGTACTTTGCATGAGAAGCAATTTCCTCTCAATGGATACACATTTTGGAAGATTCTGCCTTAAAAGAAACAAAAATACGGAGGAATGTATTTACCTTGATATGCATCTTAGCTCTTTTCAACAGACTTAGAGTGGTGTGTCTGGTGCTGTCTGGCCCGAGAGGCACAAGCTGTTTTAGCTGTTCCAAATATAGCCGGAGCTTAGCCCGCCTGAAATTATTAAAAATGAAGAGTGTTGTAGTAAAGTTACCCTCAAATAGCACATCCTAAATGCAAACACCATCTGTTTGCAGGATCTCGGTGCAGAACTTGATTCAACAGTGGCTTCCTTTCCCCTCCCTTTGGCAAAGTTTCAGACCAAAAGGTCACTTGAAATACAGTCATACTACTTGGCACCTTTATGCAATATTTTCATACCTATATTTTGATGCTGTTTGCTCAGTCTGGTTATCCCCATCCTATAGAAAAGGAGGAGTATGTTGAGAGAGGGAGAATAAACTGACCCAGGTTGGATAAGGTGGAAAAGGGGTATTGCTACAAAGCGATCCTTCCTTATCAGGTTTAAGGCATTTGATGCTTCTTTGGGAGAGAAGCTGGCAAGAGACAGAACAGTCTATGAAACAGTTAATATCACCTACCCAAAACTGTGACAAACAAAAGAAGATTCTGTGAATATAATTCTACAATTAAAATCAAAACAAAATCCCTCCTACTTTTATGCCTAATATTGAAGGGGAATCCACAGGAAATTACTTAATTTTTTTTTTTTTTACAATGGAATAGATACAAAAAACAAGAGCAAGATGTGTAATACTCTGTTCTTGCAAATATATTCTCTTCCTGCAAAATAGTCTAAATTTACACTAAATTCTAATATTCTAAAATAGTCTATTCCTGCAAACAGACTTTGCAGGAAATTACAGGCTTCTGGTCAAGAAGGAACTTTTTTTTTTCATTCTGAGCAGCCACTGCAGAACAACCAGTTCAATATCTGTCTTTGAAATGCAACTTAAGATAATCTAATACACACAGAATGGCAGATTACAGATATATAATTGGAATTATTAGTATAACGTGAAACCTAGGATTTAATGGGGGGGGAACAAAGCAAAATAAAATCTAATTAAAAGGCAGTGCAGTAAAGCTATGACTACACACTCGCAAGTTTGGCTGTGACTGCCTATAAATCAGCAATATATTAGGTATGAATTCAAAGAGAATTTCTGTAAATTTATTCTTAAACCACTTGGAAAAAAGAAGTTTGCCTCAAAATGTGAGTCTCAAGAGAAATTGCCAATATTCTTTGTTCAGGCCTAGGGTTTGCTTTTCAGTACAAAGCTCTCATCCTAATAATCTCTTTTTAAGTCATCACCAAAAAGGTCTGGGGTAAATTCAGATGAGCAGCCCCATCTAGCTGCAAAGGGGTGCTTGGCTGGCTGACTTAAACAGGGACATTGGTCTTTTAAGCAGATCCTAAAGGTGAAGCACCAGCATTAGGGACTACTGGAATACAGAAAACAGGTAAATCTCTGCATCTGTAGTTTCTAGTAGCTATCTGGCTGATTTTGTATTTAAATAATTTGGCTTCGAGGACTAAATTCAATTAATCTTTTTGTTTTTTTAAATGGCCTCTAAACATGCACGCAATCATCCACGTCACTCAGCACAACTTGGATGCGACTCTATTTAGACAGCTGACAGAAAGCGGAGACTGAGGGTAAAGCAGGATATGGCAAGGAAGAGGAGCAGAACAGTTTCTAAGCAGTAAAACAGAAAGCTAAATACATTAACATGCAATAATCAATATGCTTACAGTCATTAAAAGCATTATAAAGAATAAACAGAACTGATAATCTCTTAATCTGAGGTGTTTCTGATGTTAATCCTGAGAAACATTAATAAAACTAGACTACATATTCAATTTATGTGCCTTCTGTTAATGTTTGAAGAAAGTCTGCTTGCTGCAGGGAACCAAATACCGTTTTCCATACTTCATTACCATCAGCTGGAGAATTCACAGGAATATTACCAGGTTCCAGTGCACTGCAGCTGTGTTTTATTTTAAAGCATTAATATTTTCATGTTGTGTGCAAACCAAGCAGTACTTTACAGCACAGCCATGCAGAACACATGACTGAAGGGGATAAGACTATTTTAATTCATCAATATTTAAAAATTTTCAATTTTTAGTTTTTAAAAGCTAAATGATAAGAATTTGCTTTCAATTCTTCTCAGCACTAATAATTAACAGCACTAAATGTAATAAACACACTAGGTGAAAGGCCTGTTCTACCCTTATCCTTTTTACATTGGGACTTTGCCATTCCTTTACTCAGCACCCATGAAACTATGGCGAGAGGATTCAAAGCAGTGGTTCGCACATCTCTACATCCACACGGGTCCATTTACGTGGCTAATTCACATCACACAACACAGATTGCAAACATGAAAAAAGACAAGTCATCGTAATTGTTATGATTATAGAAAAAAACCTGAAACGCGGTTTTCAATTCACGAGCCCTAAGAAAAAGGATGTAGGCACATGAGAGAACTTTTCAGGCGAGTTAGTTTAACATCTCGGAGCAGCAGAACACGGACTGGAGCTTCTCCCGGGACAGGCTGCCACGTTTTACCACAGGGAAGCGACAAGCCGCCCCCGTGGGCCTCGGCGCGGAGCGGCGCCCCCCACAAACGCCGCCCGGAGAGCGGGCGAGCCGGGCGCCGCTCTGAGGGGCCGGCAGGGCCCGCGCAGGCCGCGTGTGCGCCGCGCTCCCCAGAAACTCCCCTCGCTGCTGCGACCGGCTGATCTGATCAGGGATGGATGCAAAGCAGCGCTCAATCCCGCGCCCCGGTCCCGCAGGGCAGCGAGGCCGCTCTCGCCCGCTCCCCGGGCCCGAGGCGGGATGCGCGACCTGGCTCCCACCCGCCGGCCGCGCTTCCTTCCCCGCTGGCAGATAAAGCCATCTCAGATGTTCCACACACTGGGCTTTCACATACAGGAGCTCACAATATCGCCCTATAAATCTGTGTTACAGCCACTCTGATGTTTAATAAAAACGAGTTATTAACACCAAAAATTTGATAAATATCCCCTGTATGTGGCTATGTTTGGAAGCATTGGGTGGTTCATCCTTTCCACATAAAGGAGGAAGGGACTTGCTGACAACCAGTGTAACGGCGACCAGCTGCAAGGCCCTGAAGCTGGTTTTGCACCCACGAAAGGGGCAGTGGGCAATGCCTGTCACGCATTTCAAAAGTGACAGCAAAGTGGATCCTGAACCACAGGTTCTGAGGGAGCAGCAGGCTCTGCTGGGAAGTCCAAACCTGCCTCAAGCGCCTTCTGCCTCCTGGTACAGGGTACAGAACCAAGCTGCTGCAGCCCGGTGAGGAAACTCCTCTCCAGTACAAGGACATCCAAAAACAAGCTCGCCTGAAGACCACTGCAGGACTATAAAAATGCAGGAGGTAATGCTGGCCAAAGGAGCTACAGTTCACCACTTCTCCAGAAAGACCCTTATGCAAAAATAAACCCAAGTCTTTGACTCTTAAACAATTTCAAAATTGTTTTAAATGAATCTGTTAAATAGAGACCAACAGGTATGAAATCATAGATGCAAGGATCCATTTTTACTACATGAAGAAATGGAACCTTAAGATTCAGAGGAAAAAATAAAGCTCACTCTTCACACTGGACAATATTCACTCTAAGGAAACTACATTAACTCCAATGAATTAATTAACAGTTGCAACAGGTGCAAAATAGTTCTCAGAAGGGCCTGAAAACATAATGTGAGGCAGTGGCCTTGAATAAGGAAGTTCAGATTGGACACAAGGAAATATGTTTTTATTGGGGGAGGCAACGCAGCACTGGAACAAGTTACCCACAAAAAAATCATAGAATCCTTAAGGTTGGTAGGGACCTTTAGAGGTGATCTAGTTCAACCTCCCTGCACACACAGGGTCATCTAGAGCACGTGGCACAAAGCTGCGTCCAAGCGGGTTTGGAAGATCTCCAGAGAAGGAGACTCCACAAGCTCCCTGGGCAGTCTGTTCCAGGGCTGTGTCACCCTAAGCACAGCATGCCCCAACCAGACGCACATGAAATTAAATGGCTGCTGATGTTCAGGACAGCAAGTGGGGATTCGGAGAAGAATCCCACCCTGTTCACGTGAAGCCCTGGCATCCACACCGGGAATGCCCGTCAGTCACAAGCCGCCCACCTGCTGTTGGGAGCTTTCCACATGCTCCCTGCATGGGAGCGCAGGATAAGCGTTTCCTCCAGGCTGCTCTCAAGGCCATAAGCAGCCCCAGTTGATAACCACAACCATAACCAGTTGCTGCTCTGCTGCTGGCTGCCAGGCATGACTGTCACAAAGGGTCTTCAGCACCAGAATGGCAATGCCCATCTCCTTCTCTTACCATGACGGGCAAGACTTAAGACCCATGAGATATAAAGTGAATTCATGACTGTACTTATCTTGCATATCCTACACGCTCAGGCCACAGCCTTCCCAAGTTAGAAGAACAACTTGTACACTTGCAGCCACTTGTCTACTCCGCATCACTTCACCACCCATGTTCCAACGTGCCCGTCTCCTCACCATACGTGTGACATGGGTACTGGCACGAAACACCTGTCTCAACAGAAGGCCTAAACTGGTCTTTCCGCAGATGCTTTCAATGCTAAAAATGCTTTCATAGTTGAGCATCTATCCATATTTCAAATGTTCCAAATGAGTCTACTAAAACTGGGTGAACAGGAGGTTAAAATATTCTTAAATCAATTGCCTGATCTACTAATTCTTCATGATGTTCTGGAAAGGGTATCTGTAGGTCAAATACACTGAAAACATAATTAGGTGCTGCACTGTGAAAAGATATATTTGAACAACGGATATATTTGAAACAAGTACCAAAATTACAAAATCGTCTTTATGTTTTAATGATTTCAATGAAAAAATTAAACTCTATTGTAAGACCCAGCTCTGTCCTTCTTCACATGGAAAGCACAATGAATTTTTAATACAAATAAACCTTCTGCTTCACAGAGTTAAAAACTATTACAGGTAAGACGAACAAAAGTATTGGAAACGAAACTTAAAGAGGCAATACTGCTACAACTGGGACAAGGTTGCCAGTCATGTGAATTCCTTCTCCTCCGTTTTACTTTTCCCTCGCATTTAATGTCTCCCAGCTCAGGTGCTGTGCAA